CTCACCTGGATAAGCTCCAACATGGCGGGCGGAAACCAACAGAAACATCTGTTACCGAGTTTTGCTACAAAAGCGTGAATTTATTCTTCGAGAAACTCATAAACATTAAAGTAATACTTTTTCTAATACATGAACTGTTTAGATAGCAAAATTTCCTTAAATAAGTCATTTTTTTAACCTACATGACTGCTCTCTTGGCCGTCATGTAAATAGAGTACTAAAATGATGACGTCATAAAAATGAAATTTCTGAAATTATGGGATTTGTCAGGATATTCTGAAAGAACAATGTGCGAGAGGCCCCTACTTGCCAAAAATGAGCATTTCGGGGCAAACTGTCTCTGAGATCGTAGCCCAGTTATGCTTGGAAAACTCCATACAAACCCTTCTAAATTTTTTTTGGGTCGACCCAAAAAAAACCAAGTAGGCCTCTTGGACATTGTCCTTTCAGAATATCCTGACAAATCCCATAATTTCAGAAAATTCATTTTTATGACGTCACACTTTAGTACTCTATGCCGCGTCGCACAAAAGCTTAGAAATCCAAGCGTACTCCATCACAAAATAAAGAAGCCTTTGAAGCGAAAATTTGTATGATAATTAATTTTCAGCTGCTCTAATGCATCGTGAAAGTAAAATCTCGATAGGAGCGATAGTTTTTATTTTGAATTTTAGTGACGTCGTGTGCTAGGCCAACTCTTTAAGGTAGTCATAGACTCAGTTTGTGCGGTTTGTGAGATTTTGTAGTGCTGTGTTAGAAGTACGTAGAATAATTTCAAGCAAAAAATGTCCCAATGCACGGCTGAAGTTACGGAATTTTACCGTATTTAACGATGTGCCGCTACAGATGAAGCAAACAGTAAATTCAGTACATTTACTATAAAATTACAATATAATCGGTTACACAAACAGACTGTGTGGGCCCCTTGTGTTATGATGGGTAAACTATATTAAACCACCTGATTAAACACGTCCCAAGGGAAACATTAAACTTTGTTTCCCGAGAATCTCAGTGTTTCTCAAAAACATTGAGATCAAACTGAACTGTTTCCCGAGAGACTAGTCTTGAAGTGATTCGTTATAAAGCCGAAAATCTTATAGGTGGAAATTCGTTAAACCTCGCTTTAATGTTGCCTAATCCCTAGACCTTATTATTCCGCGCAGCCAAAGCGTCACGTGGTTCAAGCGAAAATGTGAGGCCAAGACAAAAATCCTCAAAAGGGAGACAAATCATGCGCGGTTTTGGTTTACAGGACCAGTGTTAAGCATTTCAAGGTTAAAAATACACCGTTGAAAGACACAGATGGGAAGGGAAAGTTTAAAAGAATGCTTAGTTTTCTTTTGGTGGACAAAAGAAGCGGCTTTTCTTTAAAAAATTTTCATTCGAGGAATTCGAAATTCACGAAATTTTCATCCCAGCCGATCGGAGCGCTTGGCCTGCTTTGAAACGCAACCAAGCAGCGAAGTTTTTGAAGAATTTTCAGGTACATTTTGTACTCTATATTTAAGAACATTACGTTTTTAAATAGAATTTTATGTATTTGTAAATATTTCATCTTCGATGGGCGTATTATACATTTTGAGATCGGCTTGAGCGCCCTGGTTTGAGATTTGTGTTGAATAATTTTTGCCATGTGTTGAGCCGATTTTAATTCCTTGAACGGCTCCACGAGCCAAGTTTGTATTACGCTAACCTGCATACCAAGCGTTTCCGTTTGGTTTTGGAGCAATGAAAGACCGAGGAACGGGATTCTCGGTTTTGGCCGCGCGAGAAATGAAACGAAGAGCCAAAAAATGAAAGAGGGGGGAGGAGGAGAGCGCCTTCCTTCCTTTATTCCCCACCCTCTCCCCGCTCTTTTACTTGCGCCATTTTTCGCGCGGTCCTGGACTCTCGTTCCTCGGTCTTTGCTCCCAAACCGCACGGAAACGCTTACTACGCAGGCTTGAGCGCGCGCACTATTGAAACCATACAATAAAAGAGCATGTAACAGACGCTGCAGTTATGGGCAGAAAACGGTCTGAGATGATCGAAGTGGCGAATTTAGTTTATCTGGTCTGAGCAGGGGCTCCTAATCTGAGAGAAATTATGGGGTTCCAAGCTAGTTGTAAATGTATAACGTAGCGCCCCACCCACATTTTTAGTCTCTTCTAACCCTAGCTTGCTCAGCAGGCAATTGGAAGTAATGGGCGCAAGAAAGAACAGGACACGAGAAGAAGATACGTGATGGGAGGTCGGCCCGCGCGCCCCGTTCGTTCTCTCGTATTACTACCAAACGCCTGCTAGGCAAGCCATGATCGGTAACCCCGCTTCACCAGCCCCACTGGGGTATCAACAAGGAAGCAGTGATAAGGTGTTTTATGAAGCTATAAAGGTGACATCTCATCTATATATTGCCTAGTTTTCTCAATTTGGGAGAGTCGCGAGAAGTCACGCAAGAGCCGCACGCAAAAGGAGATGCGAGTGCGAGGGGCGAGAAAAGAAAGGAGAGCTAGCTCTCCTATTCCTCCTCCCCTCGGGGCTTCACCGCTCCACACGCGTTCTCACGCAGCTCGCTTTACTCGCCATTAGCGCCAGTAACAGTTCGACTACGGTCCCTCATTTTCCTCCCAGGGATAATAGAGCTAGCAAAATACGCAATCGCTCGTAAAATCAATTTTCAAGCGATATCGCTTATTTCGTTCGGTCACTTATGAGCCAGGAGCCGATTACGAATCGGTTCCTGTAATGGATTTCCACTGGCGCGTAATTTTTACGTTCGAACGCTCGAAAATTTTACGCGCGTTAATGAAATAGAGGCATAAAAGGCCGACCTAAACGTGATGGCTGAGCGAGATTTAACTCAAGTTAACGTTTACGCGCGACCTTCCATGCATCGCCTTTATTTTATTTACTCGCATTAAATCTACGTGCGCACGCACGCGGCAGTGGAAACCACCTTATCCCTCTGACGAAACTGAAGACTACTCGTGGTCAAAATGTTCACCTGATGGAAAAACGGAGGTAATGAAAAATAAAGCCTATGTATTGCCAAGGCACCACTTAGCTAAAAAATACTATAATAGTTTAATTTAGAAAATAAACTTCTTCCGATGATAGAATATTCCCGCGTTTCCAGCGATGTTATTTACTACGCATTCAGTCATACTTTCATTCATTGATTTCGTAACACGTGGTTTAAGCATGTATCAAGGATGAGTGTTGATTCATCACTTGTACAACATAAAACCTATTTTCTCTTATGCTCTAGGTAATTATGAACGTTCTGCGCCTCGTAAAATGATCGTAGGTAAAATTGTGCCTTGTATTTTCCCATCACATTAAGAAACTCGAGAGTAGCCTATTCACTTGCACGAAAACTAAAAAACTAGTAAAATCGCGCGATTTTCCGTTCTTCACCTTAACAATAAAAATTAATAAGTTTTAGACAGTTCAGTTTCAAGTACTTTGCCTCAAACCTTATCCAGAATCTACATGAAAAGCAAAAGAAAGCTTACCTTACTCCTTTCATTACTCGCGATTCACTTCTTGCTGTTCTTTGTTTATTACTCTATTCACTTCTTGCTTTTCTTTGTTTATTACGATCTGAAGAGCACATGGTCGCAGTTGTACTACGAAACTTACCGGAAGTGATTTTAGCTACTGCTACCCGTTCAAAACGAATGAAAGATCACAGGTCGTGTCGCGAGATCGCTCACGTTACTGATACATTATTCAGATTTTTCTCACCTCAAGGAGTTTCACGAGGCAAAATTAAAACAACACAAAACGTCACGTTACCTTTTTTCTTCGAAATGGAAAGACATTTCTCTTAATTTCTTCCTCATCGACTCCCTGAGTGCCAGTAAGTTAAGATCTCTTTAATGACTTAATATGGGATTTTAAATGAATTTAATCAACAAATGCTTTAGCTGGTACCCGCTGTATATGACACACTGTAAAGATCATTTGGCGTAAGAATTTATAACCAGCAGACTAAATGTGAAAACTTGAATCATATAACGAAGGTAGAGAGAAATATTCCGCCTTTAGGAAATATCTTAGCTATTTCTTGTTACCTTTGATCGCAAATTCATTATCTAACAGAATTACGGCATAATAGTATATGCCAGCTGTTTAATTTTCAAATGTTGTCTGGCAAACCTGTTTCAGCGCTCGCCGCTTGCAACCCATAAAAAAGGGGGGAAACTGGGGAAAGAAAGCTGAGAACGCTCTCCCCAGTCTCTACGTTTTTCAGGCCTTCCTCAGGCCCTGAGGAAGGCTGATTTTGTTAGCCGAAATATTGACGTATAATAAATCAGCCCTTTGTCGTAGTGCCAGCCTTGCATTCAGTTTTGTGTCATGGGTGCTAGCAACTAAGTAATGAAACTAAGGCTTGAAAAATCACTGCAAGAACCGTGAACGATCAATTTAGATCAACGTTGGATCAAACAGGATCGTGAGCAGTCGATCTACTACTACTGTAAAATAATAAACGGAAGTTACATGGTATGACGTGGTAAGGTGTGGCTGCTAAGAAAAATTAACCGAAAAAAAAAACAAAGATTACACAATGATTATATACGTGAACAAATCCATAAGGGGCCCCTTTCCCGATTTTTTACTGAGGGGAGGGGGCGTCTGTACACAGGCTACCCAATATAAGGCCCTCTAAGAAGAAATAAAATTCCAAAAATCTATTGTTATTTTGGGGTGTCCTTTTGGAGGTACGTCGTTGGTTATTGCAAGGCTTTCTACAATCAATAAGGGACAAAAGTATCGAGACACTTCTATAAAATGGTCCCTTTTTGCATAGTGGCATTGATCCCGTTCCTATCGCTTTCGATTCCTTTTCTGTTTTACACTGGAACAAAGCTGTTTCGCATTCGAGTTTGCTAATGTTAACTTAGAGTTAGTTTGTTCGTTCTTTTAATTTCGTTTTTGTTTGCCTTTTCTTTTAATGCGAGTCCTTTAAAAATGAAGGAAGAATACTCAAACATTGATAATGTAATTTTTATTTTCTTATTTTAATGCAAATGATTGCTACCAGAGCAAAAAACATTTTGAGAACTTTCATTAAAAAATATATGCAAAATACATCATGCTAATATCTCTTTAGTCAAACCTGATTTTTTAAAGAGGCTGGTTTTTTGGGGGGTTTTTGTTTTTGTTGTTGTTTTTGTTGATCTCTCTTTTTGTCGTGAATTTGACATTGTTAAATTACAAAAATAGGTTGAAACCCATGGTCAAAAATGTTCACGGAGAACGCGGATCGAGAATTTTCACCACGTGTTTCTGGTCTATATAATGCATATGTAGTACAAACTGTACCAGATTGATTATGAGTAAAACATTTATCATTGATACCGAGCCTTCGTTAAAGTGCTAATTTAACCAATCACAACCGAGGAAGGCAGTCCTACCAACCATTCAAATTCAAAGAACGTTGTCAGGTTATTGTAGTTGGCGCTTTTGGAACTACCTGGCACAGCTATTTGGTTTAATTTCTGATTAGTTTAAATCCTTTCACCTCCTTTAGCAAGGTAATGTAGTTGACCACTCACAGTCCAGCAAGGAATTTCTATCATTCGATAAGAAGAAGATAATTTTGGCTGGCGCCTAATTAGGTCTAATTAGCCTGCTAGCAAGCTCTCCGGGTTTTCGCCCCACCCCCAGAGTGCCCCGGGGAGCTTGCTAGCAGGATAGCGCCGGTGAATGCAAAAACATATCGCAACTGGTTTTGTTCTTATTTCCGATTAGTCCAAATACTATAAAGACCATAAGATGTGGCTGGAAACTATTTTTTTTTTCAGTTTTGGCGATAGCTCTAAAAGAACTAGAAAGATATAATGTACAATTTCAAGACCGAGGAAATCACGAGGACCCTTTTCTTATCCTAACTAACGCCTCTATATCGTTCAGATCTTGTTCCCGAACGTGCTCATATGTCGTCTCTAAAGTTTTTCCTCTTTGCTCATTGGCTTTGATGAAAGCGTTCGCCTCGTCTGCAAAAAAAAAAGAAAAAAAAAGACAGATGAACACTGCTTAATTAAATAGCTTCTATCAAAAGACCTTTTTTAACGGACCTTGCAGTGAGGATATTTGATCTAAAGTGTTGATGGTTATACGGATCTTCCAAATGTCACGGGTTTGTTTCTTTCTCTACTGTCAGGCTCCGTCCACGCTATTAAATACCGTAAAATTCCGAAAATAAGCCCCTCCATGTATAAGCCCCTCCAAATACAAGCCCCTCGGGGGGCTTGTACATGGAAATTGCCCTCAAATACAAAGTAAAACGAGGCAAAAACGGTAAATTTCCTTGCAACTATAAGGCTAGCCCAGTCGACTTTGAAACGCGAATTTCCCTCCGTAGATAGGCCCCTCCGAATATAGGCCCCTCCAAAAATAAGCCCCTAAAAAGGTCCTTTGAAAAGTATAAGCCCTGGGGCTCATTTTCGGAATTTTACGGCATGTTTTCGTTAGAACGTATACATTTCGATCACGATGCGTTCGCTATTCAACTCGTTTTGCAGCAATGTTGCGTAAAATTTTTTAATCGCCCGTTTTACTATAGCTTAAAAGGTTGGGTACTCCCCTGAAAGCTTTTTTACTGAGTCAGTCATAAACTCTCTGTGAGAAATGGAGGTTTTCGAATACGGTGACATCATAGAGCGCGTAAGGGACGCTATCGTATTTCCATCGTTTAAGCGTTTTCATGTGGACGGGCGAATATGATTCGAATACCGCTAAGTGTGGACGGAGATAAAACGGAAAAAAAATGTGTTTTCAGAATATGTACCCAAATGCGTATGGACGAGGCCTGAATGTGAGTAGAGAAACGACTTTGAACTTTGGTCTTTGGTGTAAGGACGGAAACTAACAAGGATAATAAAGATTGGATCAGTTGAAAACAAAAATCGAATTCTGCCATAAACAGTGCACTTAGGTAAGCTGGGTGTTGCATGTTACCGTAATCCATGAAATACAGGAAACTAAAACGTATGAGATGCATTACTTTATTATTTCATAACGAATCTTATCAACTTGTGATGAAACACAGTTTTTTTTTTTATTTTGGAACAGGTGCAGAAACGGGTTTCTTTGTTTTAACAGCATACACTGCAAATATTACAAATATCTCTGATAAACTGGGTGAATCGCATAATTTGGCCACATAACTCAGTTTTAAGCAAGTTGTCGGTGAAACATACTCCATAATAACTTCCTGACAAACATGACGGCCAACAATTATTATTTACTTACTTGATTGTCGACCTTTGAAAAGGATGTCATTTAGTGAGAACTCGTTCAAAGGTGTTGGGGTTGTTGTCTTTTTCGCTGTCGTAGCTTTCTTTGTTGGTGCAGCGGGCTTTGTTGTGGGTCTTGCAGTTTCTTTTAACCGGACGGTTGACATTTTTACTTTGGACGACACCGTCAACTGATTCTTAGTCGCTTCCCTCGAAGATGACTTGTTTTCTTTTTTTCCCGCGGCTGTCTGAGTTGGCGCGGGACATTGCAGCAAACAGCTTAAAACTAACAGAGGTAAGGCCAGATGAGCCGAGATCCACAACATTGAACTACGATATAAAAAGACCAGAAAAAAATCAGTTAAGTAAACACTTAAAGAGTTCTAATCTCGAGAAAGTTGATTAATTTTTCTTGAGGGAAAAAAATGTCTTCTTGCATAACAATCAAGCAGTACCAAAGAATGGTAATACTTGAAACCTTCTTCAGTCTGTCATTTAAAACATCAAAAGTGAGCTCCATCTATTTTGAAGGCACTATAAAAGTGGAATGAACTGTCACTCTCGAAATATTGTACCAGGTTGTTGCGTCATAACTGTATGTACATAACCGCATTCACTAACCCAACCAACCAATCACAGCTAATGTATTATGTATACATATAATGAGAAATGTGGCTAGAAAGCAGATGTCCTCTGTCTTTTACCTTACGTCTGTGATATCGCAAAAAGTGTTGAAATAAAGTAGTGCTCAAATTTCTTTTACACGTAAATTGAAAAGGAGCGTAGCCAAATTCAGTTACTGGGAACCAAGCAGTTGGACGGTCAAGCCAAAAAAACATAATTCACTTCTTCCCGGTATTTGAGTAGGACTTGAGCGTTATCAAAAATTCAAATGGCGAATAAAAACAAATAGTTCAGTATCTTAATTTCTCTCGAAGGCATTTTGATACCTTTTTGGGCCGGATATTAAAAAAGATATATATGAAGCGTTGTGTTTATAACTAAAACGTTCGGTACAGTTTTAGGCTGGGCTCTTTAAACGGACTAACAATTGAATTTGATAAACTGAACATTGACATTCAAACTGATTTGCAGGCCTGAATAGGGTCTGAGTATTCAGCACCAGTTCGGGTCAACCGTGTGTATTATAACGACAATCGTAAAATTGGGTTTGCCGTCGAGAACAAAAACAGAATAGGAAACTATTTCCCTGTCAAAACTGAACAATTGAAAAAATAAGGAGAAACAATGAGAACTCAGCGAAACTGAAACGATTAACTTGATTTTCGGTATTGGTTTATAATTAGACACTATATCAATGACGGTAGATTAAAGTTGCAGTTCCATCTTAGTTTTGCCGTTGAAAGAAATGAGACGACTTTAAATGGAGCTTTTTCATCTTTAGGTTAAACTCCTGCTACTCAAAAAATATCTCGGAAAGGAAAATTGAGATGAAAAAATATTCGGGCTGAAGGGTTCTTACGCTTTTTCGTAAGGCGTTGCACCGCTGTCAGTAGATACCTTCAAGTGTCCTTATCACCTTAAAGATTCAATCCTTGTACTAAACTATGCCGAAAATATTTGGCATGAATCTTAAACTAAGGAAAAGCTCAGCCATGGAGACATTAACCAGACTTAGCGACAGTCATTGATAATATCATTCACAAAGCTTATCATGTATAGTAATAGAATCCTTAACATACTTGTGTCCACACGACTGCCCCTTCTTTCCGCGCCGGCCAAACTAACAGTCTTCGACAACTGGCAACATCGAGTATTTCTTAAAGGCGACGGCTTTAAGAAGACGCTCGGAATTAAATTTAACAACGTAATGAGTAAATCTTATGCATGCATGCTGTTCACGTGAACCTTTAACAAACTTTTTCTTTTCAAAAGTAAACAGTGAGCGAACTAAGCAAACAACAGAGGCTTTGGCTTTCAAATAACTAACATTTATTCATTGCCCCTAGAAACGATACGAAAAAGAAGTGAATCAAGACAAAAATAGCAATTAGTTATTTTTGTAACCTATTTCAAACCCCTGTTTAAAAAAAGCTTAGAAGACGTTCGACGTAAATAGGTAATTTATACACGTTCACGTTCCTTGAAATAATGGGGAGCATTTGTGAAAAGGTGTTCAAGACAGCTTTCAAGTCAAATGGCTGCTAAAATTCTTAAGCATGAGCGAGCTGAAAAAATTTCATTTTTAAAACCTCATAATAAAAAATTAGAAGCCTCTTCTTTTAACAACATTACAGTGAAACCCGGCTGTATTAAGCAGACACCGTATTAAGCGTACACCCTCTATTAAGCGGACAGTAGCCGAATTTCCCAAATTTATTTCCCTTATTTACTTTAAACGAAACCTTTATTAAGCGGACACCTCTATTAAGAGGACGAGGACACCTAAAAAGTACCTGAAATGCATGGTCATTTCCAGGAGGCTTGGTAAAACCACATAAAGTAAATAAACTCCTGCAGATGGGATTATCATACTGTCCTATTTATTTCAACACCGTTTGCAACATGAAAAACACAAATAACCTTACACAAATAAAGCTTTTACAAGAAAAATCGGTTTCACGATACACACTCATTGATCTTTGTAATGTTTTAGCCTCGCGGGTAAATAATTCGTGAGCTCGTTGTTTTTCCAGTTTTTTTAGAGTAAGAACCTTTCAGAATTCGGCAAAATCCTTAGGTCCATTTTTTTGAAGGTATGAAAAGACTTCAAAGTTTCAAAAGAGCGTTTTCGGATTAACTTTAGCAGTATTTTTTGCTCGATGGGATGCTGACAATTACAGTTTATAACATAGCCAAGAAAATTCACTTTCGTGAACGGATCCACAATCCGCGTAGTTCCTAAAATAACTTTTTTTAAATTAAGATATCCCGGCCAACGCCCTTAGACTCCCTCTCTGTCCTGTTATGGCTCTTGCCTTATATCATTAGGTCTTCCAGTGCAACGTGCTTTTCATCACATGTAAATTAAGCACTGTCGAAATAATATATTGTCATTACTGTAACTCGTCTATAGGAAAAGGAAGGCAGATAATTTGTCGGTAAACAGTTAAAAAGGTTTTGAACAGCTAGTGGCCAACAAAGGGCCATGCACCTGCAAACTGCGTCCAATCTAAGTCATAATTTATCACATAGCAATATTTTCATTACTGCAAATAGTGTTGTCCATTAACAACCACACCGGGATATAACTGTGAGAACTAATACGTCTCATCTATAGATGGTTTATGGGTCGCGGATAGGATAATATTCTATTGAAAAGTCAAAAAGTGTCAAATGTTTTTAGGAAACAGACGTTTCAGGTATATAACCCTTCTTCAGTATCAAGAAAACCGTTGTTAGTAGGGTTAGCAGCAGTTGTCATAGACATAAAATGAGGCGCGCGCGCGTGTAAATAATAGCAAGCGCAGCTGAAATTGATATTTAGTCCTTTAGGTTTGAACGGTTCCTAGCTGCAAGAAAACCCTCAATTCACGCTGCTTCGGTTGGATATCGGTTCCACAGCATAGAGCCATCCCCACACCACACACCTGGAATCGGAAATACTGTGGCCCGTGGAGTTGAAATATTGCGCCACAGGAAGCTCAGGAGTGTTGTTGCGCATGCGTATACGTCGCACACGTTCGCCAAAACGACTCCTGAGGTTTCGTTCAGTATTACCAATGTAAAGAACTGGGCATCGGCGCCAGGGTATGCAGTAAACAAGGTTCCCTGATTGGCTAGAATGTAAAAGTTCTGTAGTAGCCTGAGTATCAGGCCTTCCTAAGGGGCTGGGGGAGAGGAGATTTTAGATGGGGGAGGGCGGAGGGGAGAAGAGAAAGGAAGGCCTGACACAAAACCATTCAGGAAATCGTGTAACACATCCAAAATCTGGATGTGGCAGTGATTGGATAACACACAATACTCCCTGACGGCACCGACCGCAAGTAAATACGAGCAGAGCCATCGACAAGGAGAAGCCATTGAAATTTATCATCGATGTTTTGATATCATGTGGTACTTTTATGGACAGAGACGTAGAGAGGAATTTAAAAAGGCTCTAGAGGGCGCTCTCAAGTTCTAATAAAAATAAAGCCGCAAGAATTGTGTTTTCAAAGCCTCGTAGTTAAAAGGAAAGATGTTCTCGGAGTATGGAAAAGCCTCATATACTAGCTTCTGCCGAAACTATGTCCGAGTATTGGTTTCAAAAGACCAGAACCAAAAAGGCGATATCAGTACTTCTAAATTCTGATTTACAACATCCTGCCGTTAAAAGGGTATTGTTAATGTAAACAAGACGCGTAAAGTCGTTTCTGTGGGATGCGTTGGTCTATGGAAGCATAATGGCGTTCTATCTGAATTTGGAAAAATTAGGGAAACCGGAAAGAGGTATCATGTTATGAGCATCGATGAGTAGGTTACCTGTATGGGTTGGTTTAATGTGCTCATGACTGAATTTATAGTAGCCTGCGTGGCAGGGTACTATTTCTCCCCAATCCACATCCCCTTTTTGCTTCCTCCCTATCCAGCCGCCCCTTTCGACACCTGCTACGCAAGCTAAATTTATAGTTGTCAGTGGTTGCAAGGATGGAGTTGATCTTGTTTTGATCTATCGCTATGTAGTTATTTTCGTAGCACGATTTGGATAAGAAAAAGAGCTTATTTTGCATCAAAACAAGTTTTACCCCTTTAACTTAAACTGGAATTTTAACGGAAACAAGTAATGGAGAACCTGTGCAGGAACTATATGTATAAAGATACGTCATATCTCGGTAGTAAGTTGCCACAGATAACTTTTTCAAGGAGAAATAAACATTCTAGTTTTAGGTTAATGGAACAAAACAAAACAAAACATCCGCTTGCTTTATCCAGGGTTGAACCCAGGGTTACAAAGTTCGATAAAGTTCCAATGTTTTAATCCAAGATGAAAGTTTAATATTCCAAGATGCTCTTGATACGGTTAAAAATTAATTGCAATGTGTTTCCAAGGTCTCAAAGTTAACATAGTAAGTTAACATAGTTCCAATGATTATCCCTGATTCCAAGGTATAATAAGTTTACTAAGGTCCTGATCCGTGTCCCATCCAGAAGTCCAATCCATGCCGAAAGCGAGTCGTCGATCGACGAGGACAATATTTTTGCGATTTCACCGCCAATCGTCGGGGTACGCGATTTCACCGCCAAGGGTACGAGTTGAAATTTACGCGATTTAACCTCCCGTCGTCAAGTTTTTTTCGATAAGAAAAGAAAAAAACCGAACTCTAGCTGTGCTCGGCAAAAACTGGCGAACTCCTAATAGAAAAATCTATCGGAAATCACGGCCCGCAACCAGACGCTACTAAAACCTTATGAAAATGCTAGACCTAAACAAAAAAGAATCATGAAGGGAAGAAATAATTTGGCTTAGGCGGCCTTTCGTGGCTTGCCAGTATCCCGAAGGATTTCGCTGGTTAACAAGCCATCCTAAACCACGAGTGGGAAAACTCAAGGGCGACAAATTTGGCAAGGCACGTTCTGATTTAAACGTTCTTCAGAGGAAGCAAATCGATTAAAAATCGATACAGATTTTGTACAGTCTGATTGGTCGGCTTGGAGGAAGAAATAATCGATAAAGATTTTACGATTTTACGGTACAACCAACCGGATTTTTAGCGTGGGAGTGCCACAGGCATCCCACGGAATAAAATTAGAGCGAGGTAGCCATGTACTGAGAATAGCCGACAGGACCAAAGGCTTTAGCCTGACTTTGCTTGTGGCAGTTACGATAGCGTACGTGATTGGAATTCGTTCGCTTCCTCTTCCAATTTTTTTTTCACTTTTGAAATGTCTTAACCTCAAGCGGGCGCCATCATATTTCGCCAACGGGATCGACCTTTGCTATAGGCTCTACCTTCTTTCTTAACTGAACTAGTAACAGCTTTCATGAGCTCTCTGTGAAGTAGGCATGGGTGTTTCACCATCGCACCTTCCTATTTATTCTTGCAGCTCCTTTCAACCACCCAAGAATACGAGGGATAACCAACAAAACTTCTTTGTTGAAGAATAAAAAAAGATATTTTCCCTTGGACGAATCTCGGCCTGATCTACATCAGCTTTTTAGCTGCTAGACTCTCTGTTGTATGTAAACAAAAGCAATTTACAATTTTCCGGTCACACGCAGACTGGGTCACACGTTTATTTACAAGCAGAGCGTTAGCGATCTTACAATAGCACAATTCTTAAAACATGTTATAACTCCTCAAAAACGGCAGGTTCTCCATTACAAGTATTCGACAACTCCTCATTAGAGGTTTTAGAAAAAAGCGAAATTGTAGCAACACAAGCACCGGAGCACTGCCAGACCATAAGGTGAGATTTATTTTAGGCGAGCTTTTTGACACTTGAAGATGACAACCCAATGACCGGAAGTGATTTTGATTGGATGGTATTGAATCATGCTCTGTGGGGGTGGAAGGCTCCAGTAAAAACATCTGTGTCAGGTGTTTCTCTCCTTCAGCTGTCTCCCTTCTTCGCTTCCATCTTTTCCTCTTTTCTCCCAGAAACGCCTGATACTCAGGCTAGTTCTGTAATAGAAATTCTTTGACTTTGGTGCTAAACGGGTGGCATGCGAGATCAAGACGCACCCTATGAACGGTTGCGAAACTCTTTTCGGATGGGTGCAGCACGTCATGACGGTTAATAGTTGCATTGTTGATATGAGTTAGGCTTGTGGGTTTTCTGGTCATTGTTAAGAAAAAAAATGCCCCAACATTATCGAGAGAAAGAATTGTAGCCAACAAATACTGAAGGTAGTAGCAATTAAAGGCGGCAGTCAAAGACTGAAAAACACATCTTGTTTTAGAACTTCCTATTTTAAGTTCGATCGAGAAGTAAATGATATAAAAACCGCACATTTTATGCATACGTGGTAACATGCATTTATAGTTTTGCCTTCAATTCCTGTTTCAGCCTGGGCTTAATGTCTTAAAGGAAGCTACGCCCCCTTCTCGATTTAACTGCTCAGTAGTGTAGTTTATGATCGTATATGCGTATTTTCAAATTGGCACTTAAGCACATTTCCATGCCAGTTATGGGCCTATCTACATTAGCAGACAAATTAGGCTTTTCCATTGAAACATCTAAGACAAACATTTTTGGGTGATATTTTTTAACTTCTATTGGGCTGTTTAAATCTGACAACACTTGCATTTGTTAATGGAAAGAATAATGGCTTTACAACAAATGATTGACAAGAAAAACACATTATAGTATATTTATTAATCGATTTTGCCTGGTTTTTGCCCGACAAATTTTGTCCGAGGCGCCTTTGAAGACTTCCCCATCTCAGACAAAATTTTTAAAAAAGCGCGACAAACCATCTGAATCATTTGTTTGGCGCTGATTATGACAGAAATTTGTCTCAATTAATAGACAACTTTTTCACTAATGAAAAAATTAGGCCCTATCTTTAGAATCGATTTCTTAATACTCGGCTGGTTGGCTTAAGGTCAGTTGATAACTGACACCATTATACAAACTCACTTTTAGCAGCTGTGCCGAGGCTTCGAAGGGGACTTATAATTGCCAATAAAAGTTCTGAATCAAACAGGATACGCAATGTACAGAGCAGTAATTCAAAGTTTCTTGACTGCATACTTACAATTCAGAGTCACAGATACGTCGCAAACCTAAGCATGAACTCAACGGCGAACGGATCCAGCGGGTCTTGGAGCTGCTCTAATTTCACTACGCAAAAAATCAGAGGAACCGTTGCCTTTTGTCTGATCATCATTGTTTCACTGGTCGCAAACTCTCTAATTGTTATCCTCGTTTGTAAAACGCCGAACTTAAAAAAACCGATAAATTATTTCATCGCAAACATGGCCTCGTCTGATCTGCTGTATCCAATATTTTGGATACCATGGCAACTGTCCTACTTGCACACCAACTCGTTTCTTATCGGTGGTCAGCTTGGTCAGGCCTTGTGTAAGCTTCTCCCTTTCTTTGGTACCGTTTCCTTTACCGTTTCGATTCAGAATCTGATTCTGATAGCGGTGGATCGATTTGGAGCCGTGGAGTTTCCACTCCGTTCCCCACTCATCANCTGGTTGGCTTAAGGTCAGTTGATAACTGACACCATTATACAAACTCACTTTTAGCAGCTGTGCCGAGGCTTCGAAGGGGACTTATAATTGCCAATAAAAGTTCTGAATCAAACAGGATACGCAATGTACAGAGCAGTAATTCAAAGTTTCTTGACTGCATACTTACAATTCAGAGTCACAGATACGTCGCAAACCTAAGCATGAACTCAACGGCGAACGGATCCAGCGGGTCTTGGAGCTGCTCTAATTTCACTACGCAAAAAATCAGAGGAACCGTTGCCTTTTGTCTGATCATCATTGTTTCACTGGTCGCAAACTCTCTAATTGTTATCCTCGTTTGTAAAACGCCGAACTTAAAAAAACCGATAAATTATTTCATCGCAAACATGGCCTCGTCTGATCTGCTGTATCCAATATTTTGGATACCATGGCAACTGTCCTACTTGCACACCAACTCGTTTCTTATCGGTGGTCAGCTTGGTCAGGCCTTGTGTAAGCTTCTCCCTTTCTTTGGTACCGTTTCCTTTACCGTTTCGATTCAGAATCTGATTCTGATAGCGGTGGATCGATTTGGAGCCGTGGAGTTTCCACTCCGTTCCCCACTCATCAGATCTAAGCTGTGTCCCTTCGTCATTCTCACCACATGGATAGTTGCCGTAGCTTTCAATTGGCCAGACTTGTTCACTTACAAGCTCGTTGAACACCCAGAGGGAACCTTTTGTGATCTGGAATGGAAGGAAGCATTCGGAGAGTCCTCATCCTTTGCCAGTTTCGTACTAGCTTACCACATTCTGTCTATATACATCCCTGTGTTGTTGCTAGTTATTCTTTACTCCATCATTGTTATCAAGCTCAAGACACAGGTACACCCGGGTGAACAGTCCGCCAACACACAGCAACAGCGGGACAGAAGAAACAGAAACGTGCTTCAAATGTCCATTGCTATCGTTACAGTGTTTGTGTTTTGCTGGTTACCTTACTCTATCAACTTTTTAATCATGTTGTATCAGGACGCTTTCACGCATTTATCGTGTAATTTATGGATATCCTATGAAGTCACCTCTTATATGGCTAGCGCGTACTGTGCTATCAACCCAGTTATCTGTTTCGTGTTTAGCAGTAATTACCGAAAAGCTCTTAAAAGACTCATAAAATGTTCTTTTGTACAGGCGTAGGTCGCAAAAATGTGGTTTTGGTTGAAGAGTTAAGAGTGAGAGGTTCGTGGTACACTCGCGAATAATTGTATCATGACTATCAATGTTTTTTTAGCAGTAATTATCGAAAAGGTCTTAGAACACTCATGGAATGTTCTCTTTTACAGGCGTAACTCGCAAAAATGTGCTTTTGACTGAATATGTTAAGATTTAGAGGTACGTGGAACACTCGCGAATAAAAAATCACCACCACTGCCGTTGGCGTACTTAACTGAGGATTAAGTCTGCCATGACTACGAAATATGACAGCATAGGCCACGTATTGTTAAAGGTTGGGCGGTAAATAAAAGTCAGGGACGGACCATTAGAAACTTTACTGGGGGCTTAGAAAGCTGAAGTGCAACTGTACAACTAACAACTCTTAATTAATGCAGAACTGCTAAGTTAAAGAGGAGATTCTGCCGAAAAAAAAGAAAGGAATAAAACGGACAATTATAAACATCCATTGAAATTTTAGCGCCATCAGAAGGTTTGACAATATTTTTGCGTCGTCAAAAGAAGCAAAGAAAAAACTACATGTTTTTGTGGCACGTACGCCGATTAGTCTACCGAATTGGTTTTCTACAGGGTCAGGATTAAAGTGAATAGTATATAGCGTCCTTAAAATATGAACCAGCTAAACTGCTGAAAAAATAGGGACCGAATACTGGTTTATCGCCTAAATTATTTTACTTAATTCATTTTTATTTCATTATTTTAAAACTAGTTACCTAGCAACAAGCCATTAAAAAAATCCTAAAGATGCCATTCAGCATGATGTCATCGTGCATTTTGGGTTTCCAGGCAACACGGCAACCGACCAGGGCCCGTTTCTCGAAAGTCCCGAACGTCCCAAATTTACGGGAACAAAGAAACTTTTTTACAGAAAAGAGTCCAATTCCCACACGATTTGTTTGGAACACCAACATGGCCGCCGTGACGTGATGTGAAAACGATAAATACCGGCAGAGTTACTTCCAGTTTTTATTATCTTTCATCTTATTTTTCCCCCTTGGTCTGTGTCCAATTCTGCCAATTCTGCCGAAGTTGCGCACAGGTCATTTTGCGTAAAATTTACTGATCTTATAAGCAAACTTAATATCCTCGAAAAATCAACTGCGAATATTCAGCGTACAGATTTAAATTTGGTCTCTTTTTAAAGCTCAAGAAGTCTACTTTTCAGGAAATAAAAAGATTAATGGTGCGCCGATTAAGCCTTCCAAATTGTTTTGCTTCAAAGACACAAGGCGTTATTATTTTTTCCTAGCGGCAGGAATTAAAATATCCCAGCGGGCAAATGCGACAGCTATACGCGTATGATGCAAATGAATCCATCCGACGATTGGTTGAAGACGGGATGAGCAGGGGACTCACAAACACACACACGGCTCGTGGAATTCTGTTCTATATCACGGGTTCGTTAGTACACAATGTATTCTCTGTTCTGCATTACGTCATAAAGGTTACCTTACACTACCTTACGTTACATCGATTCGGAATTCACTGATTCTTTCGCCCACGGTTTAATCAGGCTACCGCCTCGCAGCCTCGCGTCTTGTCGCGTCGAGGCTGCTCGTTGGCAATTATGTCCAAAGAAGATTCTCAGATATTAAAGGTTGTGTGCAAAATATCAATAAGAATTCAATTTGTTACAACAACTGGTCACACTTTTCCTACCAAAAACTGCTGTTCTTTTTTTTAAAAGCAGAATTATGTTCACCGAACAGACTTGTGACACGTGAGTGCAAGCAGAATATTGTTTCCGTGAAGTTTCTAGGCCTCAGTAGAGGCCTCATTAGAATTCACCATAAATTAAAATATATTATATATTTTTCTTTTTCTAGATAAACAGCTGAAAATATGACACGGTTTCAAGAGTTGCTGCTAAATGTATCACTAGTAATAGTTGACACTACAGCTGCCCCTGCTCTGTATATTGTCGGTCAATAGTATTCTTGCTCGTTGTGTGGCCGTCTTTGAAATATACCGATTCATAATGAAGATGTTCACACATATTCCATACAACAGATGAGATAAATACAGGAAATAAACGCAAGGCTCCATGCACAGTTTCGGTTCGATTTACACAGCTGATCAAAAACATTTTCAGTTTCGAGAATAGTTTATTCTAAACCATAAGAAAAGATTTAGTTAGAAGTTTAATTTCTTAGAAATTAAAAGGACGTTTGATCAATTCACGCTCGCGCATTCTTGTCTTATTTTAAACTTATATAGCGGAAGGACCAGGGGCACCCAACGAGAGTATAGTTCAAAACCACATAAACATAGCATTGTTGAACGTATTTTAGTATTTAAACGGTAGATAAAGGCTTATTTTTATCCCCTAAAAATTTTTCATCTGTTCGGATTTCCTAGCTGAAAGTTTAGTGATTGGAACGTTATAGGGATCAAAATTTACCTTTTCGAAAATTTCAGCCAGAAAAAAGGCTCCCGAAAATTCTAGGTAACCTTTTTAAGCTAAAAATCCGTTAAAAATGGGCAATTATACGATTTTTTTGAAATTCGAAAATCCTAGGAGAGGCAGGCAAGCAAGAAATTTGTCAGAAAATGATCCGAAAATTTTAGACCTCAAATCGTCTTCCGAACAGATAATTTTCCGAAAATTGTCGTTGGGTGCCCCTGATTATAGTCTGGTTATTAGTCTGATTGGTCAATTACGTTACGATGTTATTGGTCGTCTGTCAGTTAAGCCGTGATGTTATTGGCTATGAAGACTGGTAATCGGTAACTGGTGCGTTTCGATCCGTCTATTGTACAAACGACTCATTGACGAGATCAAGCAAAACAAAGTACGAGAGAACGACTGGAGAACTGACAATTTGACTAACTATAGACGACTGTTTAACTGTGACAATAGACGGATCGAAACGCACCAATTAATGATTGTATGTCGAAAAAAAGCAAATTTTTTTTGACAGTAAAATTGTTAGAACTTAGCGAACACAAGCTATAAATCCAAAGAAAGGAACAGCTAAAAAAAATCTTGAGAGAACTGAGAATTGACCTCGGTCGCCTTCGTGGTAATTTAAAAGTGAACTTACGCAACAGGACGGGAGTGGAA